CACCGGTCCCCCTCCCCGCGGTGTGGGATCACTCGGAGCTGACACGGGGTATGTGAGCAGCAGATGAGGGGGGATGGGCCGGGGATTCTCCATATGGGGAGGCACCGGACTCACTCCTGAGGTCCATTCCAGTGCCAGGCACCTCCGGCCGCCATCAGCTTCTCTGGTTCTCCTCCTCCACACCTGAGGCCCAGCAAAGCAGTTCCCGCACTTGAGCATTTCCCGAACTTCAGCATTCCCACCTCCAGGACAAGCCCGGGGGCAGGAACTCCAACCACAAACTGGGCTAAGACTGAGCGCACTCCCCCAGCATGCATCACTGGCCGTGACCCACCAGCAATTGGCTGGTAAGCAACACACACACCCTCATAATGTCCTCCCATTGGCTGTCCCAGAGTCACACCCCACCCAGGCAGGTGCAATCCATGCCAGAACACCCGAAATTAACCAGATAAATGCCAAATATAATTCAACCAGACTGACTACAGCCCCGGGCCAAATGTTGGGAGCGGTGAACACATTTGATGTCATTGGTTGCTAGGACCGCCATCCAGCGGTCCTAGCAACCAATGACTGTAGAATAGGTGGACACCTGATGTTATTGGTTGCTAGGACACCAGCGGTCCTAGAAACCAATGATTGCAGAGGAGGTAGACAATCTAATGTCATTGGTTGCTAGGGTAGCAGTGGTCTTAGCAACAAGGGATTGCAGAGGAGGGGAGCACCTGTTTTCATCGGTTGCTAGGACGCCAGTGGTCTTAGCAACAAGGGACTGTAGAGGAGGTGGGCACCTAATGGCATTGGTTGCTAGGACGCCAGTGGTCTTAGCAACAAGGGACTGTAGAGGAGGTGGGCACCTAATGGCATTGGTTGCTAGGACGCCAGTGGTCTTAGCAACAAGGGACTGTAGAGGAGGTGGGCACCTAATGGCATTGGTTGCTAGGACGCCAGTGGTCTTAGCAACAAGGGACTGTAGAGGAGGTGGGCACCTAATGGCATTGGTTGCTAGGACGCCAGTGGTCTTAGCAACAAACTACTGAAGAGGAGGGGGCCTGCACTGGGCCTGGGAGGCCGACACATCCACTGTCAGCCATAACTCAGCACAGGTCAGCGATCGGCCCGTGTCCAGACCAAGGGCCAGATGTGTGCGGTAGGCCATGAAATGCCGGGGTCTGCTGTAGGTTGCCTGTGTGAGGGGACATGTCAGATACAACCAGCATGTTTCGGGGGAATTAGACTCTAAAATACAAAAGAACTAGGGATGCACAGATACTTTTCAAGTACCAGTGCAGATACTTGGCATTTTCACGAGAACTACCAGGGTTGCAGCGGTTGCAGCTGGGACCGGGCTCTGGAGCTCCACCACTGTCATTAGTCTGTATTGTTTTAGAAAAACTGTCACATGACAATAAACAAAAATGTATCAGTACTTGTACTTGTAAGTACTCGGCAAGTACCAGTACTCGTACTCGTAAAACTGGTATCTGTGCATCCCTTTATTTATAGTTATAAAAACAAAATCATACATTAAAACAGAGATGTACAAATCCCGGGAGCTCCGCGTGCTCCTTACACATGACAGCTGCCTCCTAACTTATGAATTTTTCTCTAGTGTAGTCTTGGAGCTCAAAAGTATCGGTACATGTACTCGTACTTGTACCGAGTACTGTACTTGGTATCTGTGCAACCCTAAAAAGAACAATAACAATATGATGTAAAGTTCCATCCATGGTACACGGCGGTTGTGTGAGACGATGGAACAAACTTGTAGAAACCGTTAGAAAAACAGAGACAAGAGATCTGTAATAGAAGATAGAAAAAGGTGAATGTCGTAATCTCCGAGGCCTGATCTCAGCAGGCCCCCGTACCCAGAGACACAATGGTCTGACCCAACATAACGTCTCTCTTTGTCTCTTGTCAGAGCGTCATCAATGATAAATCAAGCTACAAAATGGTGGTGGATTCCATGAGGGTGATCGGCTTCACCGAGGAAGAGGTGGACTCCGTGTACAAGATTCTGGCTGCCATCCTACACCTGGTGAGGACCTCTTGTAGGGTTCACAGAGGGGGACCTGGGGAGACAGGTTCATATGGTGTGCAGTTGTGTGCTTAGATTGCCAATGATCTCCTCTCACCATTATCACTTCACTACAGCGGCCCCAACATACAGGAACCCGGGGCCAATATGGATTCACAAAACCACGGATACAAATGACACAAAAAAAAGCTCACTCTATATAACGAGAAATGTAAATAGTAGCCACATGGAAGAAAGAGTGCTAACCAGTCCAGCCAGGCAGTCCTGGAGACCAACTGGGAGGAGAACTCGGGGAAACTGGAGGGCAAAAGCCAAAGAGTTCTCAGGCACGGTGTAGGAAGTTTATTTTAATAAATATAAAGAAAGTCAAATTGATACGCTCACTAATGGAGACCTTGAGCAGCACCAACACCCCGAACAACACCAACACCTTGAACAACACCAACATATTGAACAACACCAACACCTTGAGCAGCACCCACACCTTGAACAACACCAACACCTTGAGCACCACCAACACCTTGAACAGCACCAACACATTGAACAACACCAACACCTTGAGCAGCACCAACACATTGAGCACCACCAACACCTTGAGCACCACCAACACCTTGAACAACACCAACACCTTGAGTAGCACCAACACATTGAACAACACCAACACCTTGAGCAGCACCAACACCTTGAGCAGCACCAACACCTTGAGCAGCACCAACAC